GGTTAGATCAGCTGATGCTCTTGTCTTGAAATATGTTTTTTTATTCTTATTTTAACCACAAACTTTGGTGAAGTAGATGGCAAAGTATTCATAGATTTCTAATTAGTGCATAAATTATATTGTCAGCTTGTAACATTTACTGAAATTTCCTTTTTGTTAGTGATTTTCGTCTTTGGAAAAAGAACAAGCTAAAGCTTACTCAGCTTGGATGAAGATAGAGTGAACATTGCTGGTCTACTGTCACAAATTCTCCATTGGATTTTTTATCTGGACTTTGACTAGGCCACCTGAATGTACCAATCTATTGTAGCTCTGGTTGTATTTATGCTTCTGGAAGACGAACCTCTGCCCCATCCCCAAGTTTTATGTAGCTTCAAACAGATTTTCTTCCAGGATTGCCCTTTATTTATCTCCATTTATTTTCTAATCAGGTTTGACCCACAGCATGATACTGCCACCACCATCTTTAGAATGATGTGTTCAGGTTAATGTGCGATTAGTTGTCCGTTGCAAAGCATTTTGCTTGTATGTCAAAAAACTCACTTTGAATCACCTTTTTCCACATTGTGTTCCTCATTTATGGCAAACTAAACAGGACTTCTTATGAATTGGTGTTATATAAATAAACTGAGTTGAATTACTTGAGCTGTGCATCTCTGCAGCTCATCCAGAGTCACCATGGATCCTGTGGCTGCTTTTTTGTCCTTACTTTTTCTCATGCTTGTCGGATTAATGCTAGTATGTCAGTTTAGGTGGTTTACGGTTGTGCCACATTCTTGCTATTTTCAGATTTGTACTCTTAAAATGTGCAAAGGTAACAAAAAATGTTAACCTAACCCCACCTTTATCTTCTCGACTTAGTTTTTGTTCTTCACGGTGCCATTTGTTGATTAATGTTGTCTAATGTAGCACTGAAACTTTCACAGAACAGATGCAGCTAGGGATTTCACAACAAAATAAATGCAGTCCACACATTTCAGATTTGTCATTTGGGCTTGAATCACTTTCTGTGAGTAACTCAGGTTAAAAAAAAACACCAAAATAAAATGGAAAAGCCTTTAAAAATAGAGCAAAAGCATTATTTAAAGTGGCGGGGATGTGGTGGTGACGGGGTAAATATTGAGTCGCATTACACATGCAGCGTGATTATCCTGCGAAGGCAGCCCTACGAGAGGGAAAAAGGTCAACACTCTCTGGTCTTCCATGAAGATAAATAAGCCTCAATCCACTCCAGCAGTAAATGACACTGGGTTTCAAGTGGACTGCCTGCTGTCTGCCACTGCAGACAATGAAGATGACATGGAAGTTGTCATCTTATGCTTGACTGGGCAAGTAGTCGTTAAGGCACAAATGTGAGCTGAATTATTGTTTCAATTTTTGTCAGTAATATGAGGTCTGCAGCGAGAAGCACAACAGACTCAATGGGTGGCTCTCTTTGCAGTTTAGCAATCAGTTGTCTTTTTTAAAGTAATGTAATGTCCTTTAATGTAGACGCTTGCTTCATTTTGTATATCTAATTCACTGGAATAGACTAATTTACATAAATACTCTTATTTTTTTACGTTGAGTATTTTTTCAGAAAATAACTTAAAATAGTGCTTCATGTTTACACTTGCGCAGAGGGGATGATCAATTCTTTTTTTCCACATAAGAAGCCTCCCACATGCACTCTGCAGAGCATCATTGTGCTCCCTTAAAGTCCTCGCCCCATGTTGAAGTATCTCTGTCACTGCCGAATGAATCGGCCCCCACACTAACCTTGCAGCATTCAAAGGGCGGCTGAGCTAACAGGTACATGCGTAGGTGTTCATGCAACCATGAGAGAAGAAGAAAAGGTTTCTTAAAGCTCCTTTTTCAAACCTAAATCACTTCTGATGCATCATCTTGTTGTTTGATCACAGGCTGTTTTATTTGTTGCTTTTTTTTTTTTTTTTACATTTTCAACACCCTTGTCTTAAAAAGTCTCTGTTGATGATGGTGAAAGATGCTGTGAAAGAAGTGTTAGTTTGGTGTTAATATCACAGCTGGAGAGTGTCGGGACATGAAAGTTTCTCTGAGTTGTGAAAGAGCAGCGCTGGTCGTGAAGCCAGAACCAAAGCAAACCTGTTTCGCTCAATAAATTTTGTGTTTTCATGGATAATAAAAGGCTGATGTAAACAAATTATGCAACTAAAATTAAGAGCTTAAAATCAATTATTTGTTTTTCAAGCCTATCTCAGCAGCAAACTAATAGATGTGTAGATACTTAAATTGTGCATATTTTAAGTGGCATTTCTACAGAAGTGCAGCTAAAAACCTTTAGAAAACAGTTCTGTTCCAAGTACTTTCTTATTTAACTGTGAATGAAAAAGAAATCAATGAAATACTTTAACCAACTGCAGGTAGGAAGATAAGACCTTCAATACTTAGTCGTACTCCTTATTTAAATACCTAAAAGGATCCTCAACTGATATAATTTATAGCAAACGATATTTAAAGTCAATCATTAGTGGAAAATGCATTATTTTGATGTCATTTCCCTATTTTAATTCACAGGCTGTGTGCATTTGTGCCTGAAAAATAGTTATTAGTTGACAATTTGTCACTAGTCAAGGAGATGCAGAGTTAATTTCTTCTTTACATTTTTGTTGGTTACAATCCAGTCCAAAAAAGTAAATGTATTGTCAAAAATGTTTTCCTTTTCAGTCAGAATGTCCTGACAATCTTCCAAGCTTAACATGTATTTGGATCAATACTGGGTCAGTTTGACATCGAAGGCATGGTTTATGCAGGAACATTGGCTTTTTTCAGGCCATCCATTTTATTTATTTATGTATTTATTTATTTATTCAAAATAATTTAGCTGCTTTTTGGCAAAAATTACTCCTGCAGGCAAGTCCATATCTTTGCAGAATAATATCATTTTTCAAATATAACATCTGCTGGCAATGAAATTTTGCTAATTAGCTGAGACACTAGTAAGCAAAATTACAATTATTTCTCATAACAAACAGAAGTCCTACCTGAATCACATGAGCAGTAATACTAATCTTTATATGGCAAAGTAAAAGTGATTCAAAGTATTAATCCTCAAATATTAAAGATTTATTTTAAAATGTTATTGCTTTGCTGCATAACCAGCGACTCAGCTTAGTTCAAATTAACTCAAATTAGTTTGAACATCCCTTGACATGCAGAATAAATTAGCTTAAAGTGCTGCCAGTGGGGTTAGAAAGTGTAGGAAATAAATCAGTGTTGTCATCTCTCTGGTATCCAATCAGCTTCACTGACGTTTTAAAACCTCAATTTACGAAATGAAAGAAACTTTCCACATGAACTCTGACCCATTTCTTTATATCATGGTTTCTGTTGGGGAGTATTATGCTGGCATCTTGTTCTCCACTCTGAAGCGCAAAAATAAATATAATTTGTGTTTTTTGAGGTTGCATTTAGACTTTCAAATTACTTTCCAGAGAAACCTTCAGTGGATCTTAGAGTCACATCCAGTGTTATGCCTGGGTATGTTAACAATGAAATAAATGGGGAAATATGAGCACCAACTGTGGGAAGGAAGGAAAATTAGGCCATCAATCTTCGCTGTGTACTGGTTTTCTTTAGCACGCCATTATCCTCTTGAATTGCTATGGTGACAGAGCAAATTACAACCTGCGCACCAACGGCACACAAATAGTTCCTATCTGCTGCAGCATGTAGCTGCTTTGTGTAATTATTGAATTTCACTTAAACACATTAAAACATTTTATCTGGGAAGTAAATGCATCCGTTGTTAGATACACAAATTTTAAGCCACTTTTAATTATCTCTACATCTTGTCGCTCATTTTCTGTCCTCCTTATTTTATTTTTTTTAAAGTAGACATATGTTGGGTCTCAATGAAGACATGTTTACAACAGAAAAATGCTGAACTGCTGACTTCCACATATTTAGTTAAGAAACACTAGGAATTGTAAAATTTTAGCAGCTCAGAACTTAAAGCTACAAGTGATACAAACATGAAATATATTTATAATGTTGACTAGTTTCAACATTTATAACATCCCCTTTGCACTCAGTAGAGCATCCTTTTGTTGCTATGACCTGCTGCAAACATATTTAATAGCCAGAATAAGCTTTATGCAACATAACGGGAAATTGTAGCCCCTTCCTCATGGCAGTCGCGTTTTCAGGTCAGGTAGCGTGACTTCGATGGCCAGTCAAGAATCTTCCAAAACTTATTGTTGGATGAAAAAGGTTGAATGTTGCCTAAGTTTTCTCACCCATTTCTCTTAAAAAATTGCCATATTTTAACTTGCAATTACAACCAACCTGATGTAGCCTGTAGGTTGCTTGATTTGCTAACGTGTGCTCAGTGCAGTCAGTTAAAGCAAGTTATGTGATATTTTGGTCAAACTGTAGTATCAAAGTCAGGCTCTGTTGCCCTGGAGCAGAACTGAGGCGATGTAGAAACCCCATACAGACAGGACATCCCATTGTGTTGACATGTTTGGAGATGATTTATCTGGTAAACAATGACCATTAAGCAGCAGACCACATGTGGCACCGCATGAGTGCCTCTGCACAAAGAGCGGTGGATAACATATGAGTCACTCTGTTTCCTCTGCAACCAGACCTTAAAGTAAAGTAAATACACCTGGTGTGTGTGAAGAGCTTGGTGTTGTGCGCTGCAACATAACATATGTCACTACTGGGAGCGCAGGATCATAATTAAACCAGATGTATAGTTGCACTTCATCATTATTTTATCACTACTTTGTGATCCTAAGATTGAATTTTGACATCGAGTGAGGAGCCTTATTCTGATTTTAGAGAGCTGGCCAGTTTTCTGTGAACTCCAGCTGATGTTTACTAATGCTGAGCCTACAGCTGCTCACACATTCTGCGTCGGCTCCGTCATCTGACGAGGCAGGCTCCCTGCCTCCGACATGCATCTGTCACAGAGACTGAGGAACTCGAAGAATCCAATCTCATCTACCCGAACTGTATTTATTTTCCTTCTGCAGCTACCGCCCGGCTGCCCAGCATCGCCACCATGAATGAGAGTCGAAGGGAAGCGCTGGCGGCTGCGGCCCCTTCGCTCACCACTGCCTCCTCCTCAACAGCTGGCTCCAACACCACCAGCATGGCCGGACCGGGCACAGGGGAGAAGGATGAAGCCTTCTCCAAGCTGAAGAACAAGTTCATGAACGAGCTGAACAAAATCCCATGTGAGTTTTTTTTTTTTTTCAACCTTTATTAACTCATGCATGTTCTTTGTTGGGTCTTTACCACCACGTCAAAAATATTCCTAAAAGGTAAAATCACTTTTAGCAGCAAAAACTACCAGAACTCAGTTTTCTGTCTGACTTTATCAGGCTATCACAGTGCTTCCTAAACCTCACACTGACCTGCTTCAGCACTCCTGATTTCAATTAATAGCCCTTGTTGAACTTCCATCATGTGATCATAGTTTTTAACCCTTTCATGCATAGTGGTCACTACAGTGGACAGCTATCTAAAAGCCATTTTCTTGTGCTTCTTGTGGATTTTTATATTATAAATGCACTGAAGTGGACACTAATGCATCATAAAATACACCATCAACTACTGGCCATCAGCTGCAAATGCAAGAAATAATTTTTTTTAAATGCAGTATGGCTGACAGACAAAAAAGTATGCAGACCGATCCGGTCCCTCCTTCTACTGTAGACGATTCTTGCAGGTAGAAAAAATATTGTGATATCAGATAAAACCCCCTAAAGAACAATACTAATGTATTTTCAAATAACTTTGTATTAGAAGAAAATTACAATTGATCGCCTAAAAAATCTAAAATTAAAAAAAAAATTACAGAATTTTTTTTCCTACCTTTTTTATGCTTTAAGAAAATAAAAAAAATAAAAAATCCTGACACAAAGGATCATAATTCAAGCAGCTGACTTGCTGATGTGCAAATCTCTTTGCTTTCTTTTCTTAAAACTGTTGATGAATAAAGCAGATGTTTTTAAGCAGTATCTTTACTGACGTTCAGTCATACTTACGACTCTTCAAGACAGATTTTCTCCAGGCTCTGTGATTCAAACAGCAAATCATTGAGAATCTTGTAAAAATCTCGCTTCATTCTCCACAGAAACCTAGTTTCTGAAAAGGGTGTGAGTCACTGACTCTGCTTTCAAATGGTTTCACAGATGCAAAATGTGTGTAATTTGACTCCTTGTGATTTTAAAGCTGTTTATCTGAAACCTTTCAATGTGATCCTGATTGTATACCCCATGAGTCAGGGATGATTCAGCCATAGATGCATGTTACTTTTTGTTGGCAGAGCTCAATAAGCAGTCAAGGTCTGACTTGACCTTTGATGAAAACGTCACACAATCGAACGCTGAAAAATCATGAACTTCTCATCTTCTGTTCGGCTGTTTCTTAGGAAACAATAGGGGAAAAAAAAGCTTTCTTCACTGAATATCTCAGTTTATACTTGATTAAAATGTGAAAAGTAAGTTTTATTTTTCATGTTTATTTTAGTGCAAAAGCAGAATAGAAAATCTTAGTTCTAAAAAAAAAAATCCAACCTTTTATATTAATTCAGTAATTCTGGGAAGATAAACGTTTTTAAAAATCACTGTTGAAAACTCACTAGCAATTAGCAGGTTTGTCCGAGTGCCTGATTTGCTTTGGATCGAGGTTCCGGTACGTTTGGGCCAGGATTTTGGTCCCATGCATCTCGGTGTCTCTGTGGCCGGAGGGCTGCTGCTTCTGAGCCGAACTACCTCTGTGCTGCGCATATGGCTGCTCTGTGGGGGGGCCTGGTGTCCGTCTACCTGCTCAGACTTCCTGCCCTTTGCTGCTCTTGGATGCTGAGCGTTTCAGACTTTTTGCCCTTATCGCCGTTCTAACAACTCTGCACCATCAGGTGGCAAATTAGCAGCCAAAACACAGTTAAAAACATAAATACAGCTCCAAGTAGAACTCATTTAAATCAAGTCTTCTAGTTCATTGGGTCAAAACAAAACAGGATTGTTCAGCTCACAGTTCTCAAAAATGTATCTCCAACTCATGATTGTGTTCAAATGAATAAAAATTTTTTTTACATCGTTCTTAAATAAAAACTTCTGCACTTTTATGATCAAATCTCCTGGCAAAACATCTGTTCATGAGTGTGTGACGTTCTTTGCCTATCAGAACAAATCTCTCCACGGAGGTCTGAAGGTTTTGTTTCCATCAATATCCTAAATTATAATTGTATCTAATAACAGGTTTGTGTTCAAGTAATATCATCTCACAAAATGACTTCCGTCTTTCCCCCAACGCCACAAATGTCACCACTGCAGAAATTTCATACACAGTAATCTTTATACATGCGAGGAAGTAATTTAGCTTAAATAAAATCCATTATTTATATTTTAAAAAAAAACTCTCATGGCTGCAGCTGAAGAGCTTTAGCTGTGTGCATTCATTTAAAATAGAAACATGTTTGAATATCTTTGAGGATATTTGATTTCAGAGGATTTACAGCCAAGACCTGATGAGTTTGATCTCCCCTCTGGCTTAACAATAAAAGTATCACAAAAGACAGTCCCCAGAAATCCATATTTTTCACATCCCTCTTGGTGGCAAGTTGGGTTCTCAATTTATTTTCTTTTCTCTCATTTTTGAACTTATCTTTACCACACCTCTGGCAGAAAAAGTTTTCTAAAATCATCCAAATAAACCCTACTGACCATCATGCAGGTTGTCACTGCTGGGTCATACCTATTACTGTTTTCTGTCACCTCATCCCCTCTATCAAAAGCAGGGGACTTTGCTCTGCAGTGCTGCCAAGCGGATGATGAATGCCCAAAAGACTTGTTTACCTTGTGGAATATCGATGGGGTTTGGGGGAAAGTCATGCAGCAAATTTAACAAGAAAATGTGAGAGGTGAAGCTGCATGCTCAGCACCGCCTTTCCACCGCAGCTGCAGAAGATCTTTTCAGACTTATAACCCAATTTAAGCTCCACAGGCTTTGAATGTGTGGTGGCATGAAGCTGTCACAAAGGCCTAACTCGCTGCTCAATTTCTGTCAGTCATCACGCTTCTGAGCCGGGGATTTTTGTCAGCCAGTGCCTCCTGCACAGCAAAAACTAAACCTATATAAATCATGACAAAATTACTTTTTTCCGTTTGACAATTGGTGAGACGCTCCTACTTCTGGCAGTGGTTACAAATATATTCTCTATGGGAGTTTATGTCATTAATTTTGGATTTTTATTTTATTTTTTATTTTTTTAATTTGTGCAGCAACTTCACTGAAGTTGTATGATGTATATTGCTCTGCCTGAAAAACAGAACAGATTAAAAAATAGACAAATTATTTATACATTAGTTATACATTTGAATTTGCAATGTTTCAACATATCCCAGCATTATTTATTTACACTAAATCACTAAAAAGATTTGTAAAATAAGCAACAAGCAGAAAACCTTTTCATAAACGTGGTAAAATAAACACAATTGAAAATTAGCTGAAGACTTTACTTGTTTCAGCTGTTAAAATTTAATATCCTGCAATAACTTTCTCTGTTATCAATTATTTAATGCTCAGATTTTTTTGCTTTCCCATAATTATAAACACTTTGACAGGCAGAGCTGAAGTCCAGCTGTAATCACACTAAAACATGCTGTTACCGCTCATTGAAACACAGCTGCTGCTGCTGCTGCTGAGAAAACCAGATTGCTGAACTTCTTATTTCTGAAAATCCGTTGCAGATAAGAATTGATCAATAAACGCAAACTGTTTGAGTCATAACTACAAACATACAAACCATTTCTCCAAAATAACAGAGTGTACTGGAAGAATAAATGCTACATAAAGAGAAAATCTTTCTCCAGTTGAAAATATAAAACAATAAATCTGTTGGAGGAGAAAAATATTATCCTGCAGAGCTAAAAAAAAAAAAAAAAAGAAAGAAATCCCAGCACAAAGTTATGTTTGTGTTTGAAAGTGTCTGGACTGATTTAACACTGTGGCTACTCCCAGTCAACAGACAGCAGGGTTTATTAAAGAGGATTATGGCGGAGGATCAGCAGGACCCGTTGGGTCTTCCTGCCTGCTGGTGGCAGGCCTCATCGCCCACCGTCATCTTAGGAACAAATGTAAAGCTGTGAAACCCTCAGGGATTGGTGGAAGCAGGAGTAGCCTAACACAGTTCACACAGTGACCTCTGCACTCTGACTGCACACCTAGATTTTCATGAGGACAGTCGTGTTGCAACCAGAAAATTAACTTTTTTCAGCCAAACGGGAATTAAAACTACTCCATGGTACTTCCGCTGCAGCTCTGTGTTTTGTGTAAATATAAGATTTACAGAGTAAAATCTCATTATCATCTGTTTTCAGCCCTCATTGCTGATTCTGCTGCTGCAATATCGTCAGCTTAGCCAAACCACAGTGGGTTAAAGCCATGAGCAGAGTGTTGATCTCACAGGCATAACAAGATATAATGTGAAGGTTAATTGACCAACAAAGTCCTGTCACACTGAATTAGTGCGCTCTGGAAAGTGGATATAACCCAGATGCAATATAGCACATTAATAAACACACAAACATACCCAGACACTTGTTAATGTGTCCAGCATGAACCTCTCCTTCTGATGTAAAGTGCTCAGGATTATAAGTGAGAGGATGAATAAGAATGTGATTACATTGAGACAGAGCAGACGGATCCAATACAGCTTGTAAAGATTACAAAACACCTGAAATGACGCAAAATATCCACAAAGTTTTACACAGAGCATGTGTGAAATGTACTCTTTCACACTGAAATATTTCAATCAATAAAACTTACTACGTGAAACAATATACATGTAGTAAAGTGGATGTTTTCATTCATGTTTCCTCAGAAAAAAGCTCAATACTATAAATGAGTCACTATTTCTTTCTCACAGTCTGAATAAAGTCCCCATAGAACCGCCCACACCACCTTAAGAGGCCAAAAATGTCCCAGAGTGAAAGCTGACATTTGAAGGTAATGGTGTTTCGCCAGCAAAAACCAAACCCAGTTCTGTTGTCACGGTAACAACCGAACCGAACGATAAACGTCATGCACACATTTAAAAACTGTGTAATGGCATTACTTAAATGTAATTCGTTTTATTGTAATTTTTAAGAGCAGAAAATAATTTTGCAATTATTCAACTCTGTAGCATTTCTTTTGCGCTAAGAATATAATGAAAAGTATAAAGCTGATTTCTTTTAACTTTCCTTTATAGCAGTCAGACTTTGTTTAAAGTGATCCTGATCAGTGCGTAATTTCTGCAATCTAATTTTTACGTGCTTTATTTGGGCACAAGATTGCCTGGACTTGAAAATAGGTGATAGAAAACTTGTTCAATATGCAGTTACCATACATTTTTCCTTTAAGTGATGTCAAAATAGTTGGTTTGTAAGTAATATATCAAAACAAACCCCCCACAGTAAAGTGCTTTAATCACACAACGCAACTCATTTCATGTTCAATGAACGAAAACAAAATACAGAGAAACTACAAATGAATTTTTCACATCGACTTATATGAAGACATCTGTAGATAGTTGGCGTTTTCTTCTTTCACCATTTAAAAACCCAAAAAGTGTCTTGAGCCCCAAGGGACAGCAAACTTGGACTAAACCAGGCATGTCCAGCTCATCCAGGGAAACTATTTTCCATGCCACGTCGCCCGGTGGAACAAGAGATAAGTCTCGGGAGTTAGAGTTCCCGCTCATCCCCTTTTTCACTTTCTCGCTCCATTTCTCTCCTGAGAAAAGACATTCAGACAATGTAGTTAATTAGGGAATGCTTTTATTGCTTTCTGGGACTCAGGTTCCTTTAATTAAGGAACACAGAAGTGCCTTTCACTGGAAGACGTGGGCTTGATGGATAAGATAAAGTCGGGGAGTTTTTGCCATTCCGTCAGGCTCCAACAGAGTGACATAAGTATTTATGAGATTCCTGTTAATATATGCTTTCATTTGGGGAGGGGGAAATAAAATCACTATTCTACAGTTTCCAAAGAAAGCTGATTGCTTTTTCAGAGCAACTCAAGACCTGTCACATCTGTGACACTTTGCTTAAAAGCCTTGTGTTTGCATTTTGTGACTTCAAGATCTTGAATCTTATTAAACATTGACGCTACAAGTTGAGATGAAAACATACATTCATGCATATAAAATCTAATGTTTGCTATAATATATATAATAATAATAATATAATAATATCCCCAATAGAAATTCCAGTATCAAGGGCATAAATGGGACATTATGAACGGAGCCTGAGCTGCAGTTTGATCCATATAAAGTTTTAGGAAGCTGATTGCGAACGAGGCCTATCCAGTGTCACCTCCATTACCGTGGCGCTCCGAGGCAAGGCCGGAGCTGTAGATCCTAAAGTTATTTCAGAGCATCACTCACTGTTTTTCCTTGGAGGAGAGTGCTTATTGATTTTGTCAACAGGGAATCGATTTGTCTTCTTTCTCTCTCACCTCAGCAAAAGAACCACAACTAGTCAGCACAGCCGCAGAGTGAACTGCTGTAATTTAAAAGATTTTCTTTCTGTTTTGATGGAAACTTCTGGGGTTTTTACAAGGTAGTCTTCAGAGGACTGGAGCTTAACCGGGTTCGTGTTTTCAATTGGCATGTTGAGTTTATGGGGATGTTTGGATTATTTTCTGAGATACGGATTGTGTCGCGTTTCATATGGGTTTTGTTAGTGTTGATTTATTTCTCTCTATGGAAATATATCAGCTCGACTCAAACTATTTTCTTGTTTTGTTTTATTTATCACAATAACTATATTCCTTAAAAAATACCAACCAGTTTCAGTTTTTAGTAGATATTTGCTTCATATTGTTTTTTGCTTCTCATACAACATATTATAAAAGATTTCACCTTTTAAGTGTTTCCACTTTTTGCCACGTTCTAAACATAAACTTCTAGGTATATTATTGGGTTTTTACATAATAAACTGTTTCACTTGACTTTTAATGAATGTGGATTTATATTTCACTCCATTTTACTCTCAGCGACTAAAACAAATGGAGCAGGAGATTGAACCGACAACCCACCGATTACAGGACAATCCCCTACTTAAAAAAGTAATTACCGTGTTTTTAGGACTATAAGCCACTACTTTTTTCTCCACACTTTGAACCATGCAGCTTGCAGCCCAGTGCAGCTTTTCTGTGGATTTTTCTTCAACCAAGATGTTTGTTGGACGACCTTGACTGCTGGAAGAAGTCATCTCGTGAGGTCTCTTACTATTTTCAGCCTCCCGATTTTCCTCCAGCCCTCACGTTATTGTGATGGAGACATGGTGTTCCTATGTGTCAACAGGAAGCAGGAAGCTCAGGCTGACAGCTGACTGCAGCACAGATAGGTGTCACTGTGTTTGCAGCTGGCTGTCATTGTGTTGGTTGAGCTGCGGCTCTGACAGTTCATATGTGACAGGAGGCTGACTGCTGCTTGTCCCAGTTTTTCCAGTCAAGGCCGTGAAGGAGGCCAACAGCATATGCTAGAGGGAACAAACAGCGAATCAACCTTTGTCAGAGCAGAAAAGCTTTCTGACGACATTGAATGTAGTTTTAAAGATTTAACATAAAAACATTTAAATTAAAAAATAATAGTTCAAGTTAGTAATGAAAAGACATAAATATAAATGGGTAGGTGACATTTATTTTAAATGTTGGACATGGTTACGGCATCTCTTTTTATAAAGGTATTTAAATATGCCAGCAGGCTGTGGTGTATTTTTTGTTTCGATTTCATATTTTTTGTGAAATCCAGAAATGTTAAGTTTCAGACCAGATTTTAACCTTTAGAAGTTTTTTTCGCTGTTCATGCATTGGATTGTACTCTTTTTTTCTAACATAAAACTAGCAAATGGAAATGTTGTCACTGATTCACTTTATTGCGATTTATATTGGTTTGTGAAGAGTAAGAAAAAAGACATAAATTATTTTTTTTTCTCTTTTGAATAATTATTTGCCTCCTAAGCTAAATAATTACTTGTGACACTCATTAGCAGCAACATGTGACATCAAGGCTCTGATAACTTATTTATGGAGGAAATTTGATCCACTCTTATTTGCAAAATTGTTTTAAATCAGCCATGTTGGATGTTTTTTTGTTTTTTCCTGAGAATAATTTGTTGATTTCCATCTGATTTATGTCCCGACTTCAATTACTGAGATCTTTTGCAACTTCCTGGTTCTCAGTGCATTCTTGGAGTAATTTTTCTGAGCTCCTGTTCCATGTTTTCCCCATATTTCTGAAATCCTAAAGCTCTACAAACCTTCCTTCGCCAATAGTCTAATAGTTTCCTTGATTCTGCAGGTGTAGCAGTAATTAGTCCGACAATAACTCAGCTGTGCAAAAAATGTTAATTCATAATCACTTTTTTACTTCTTCACACAAAGGTGAGGTGCTTTGGATAACTTTATTTGCTTCAAATAGAAACTTAACTGCTTTTTGTGTTTAGTCCGACTGTCTCTGTCATTTTAATTAATGAAATTAACATTTAGTTTTGACAAAAAAGCAAAAAGGGGATAAAAAACTGAAATCTAGTTCAAAAGTTGTCAACACTGCACAGACACAAACCCAGTATATAACAGAGGATGTGGCAGGTGTCAGAGGGAAAGATAACCCCATTTCCACCCGTCCAGGTTGAGTGCATCATTGGATTGTCATGGTCACACCTGAATTAATGCCCATCAGACACACCCGCAAAATCCCCACCACCTTGACTCCCTGTGCACTCTGTGCTGACGCTGATTGCCATGAAAGTGTCAGCTTGACTCGGAGTCTTTTGTTTAAATGGCAAGTGGAAAATGCCAACATCTGTTACTTCCACTAAATTGGCTGAAGGTGTTCGGTCAGGTTTTCTCCCCATCGCTTGGAGTCTGCCACTTCTTGATGGGCCCAGGCGAGAGCTAAAGTGAAGATCCACACAATTTCCTGCTTTTATCTCACCTCTTTGTGTGTAATCACCACTTTTCAAAAACGTCTCTTCATGTCCAACGTCTAACCCGAGCTCTTTTTTTTGTCTTTCTTTCCTCAGTGCCGTCATGGGCCATCGTCTCCATTGCTTTCGTGGCCATCATTCTGGCGTTAGCTTGCTGCTTTTGCGTCTGCAAAAAGTGGATTTTCAAAAAGAAAAACAAAAAGAAGGGCAAAGACAAGGGCAAAAATGCCATCAACATGAAGGACGTCATGGACGGGACCAAAACCGAGGTACAGACTTTAATCCGCTTTAATCCCTTATAAATTATTAACTCTGAATCTTTTGAGGCTAAGATTATGCTAAAGCTTGTTCATGTGACCACATGCAAGAAGTTGAAGGTATTTGTCTTGAATTATGTTGTTTTTGCTTCCGTTTGGCATTATTTCGTGCTTGTTTTCTTCTGCACATGATGACAAAGTTGCATTAGGAATAGTGAATTTAATAATCAAGTGCTTTATTTTGTGTGAATTCTCTTCTTAATTATTCCACCCAAATTACCTGAATAATTCCCTGAATACAGATAAGACATTAAAGTTTTGGTGACTTGGATGACTTGATTTAAATCTGTCATCTCCTGCTGTGATTGCTTCTTTTTTTTTGTTATATGTGGACCTGCTCACTTGTTGAAGAGTGTGAGTAGCTGTGTAATGAAGTGGTATCCACCCAGAGAAATGACATTACCAAACTTTAAACTGTTTTTAGCAGTGCAGAAGGGGAAGTTGTGATGCGCAGACAACAAATCGTACCTATATGGCTTCATTAAAGGCGCCATCTTCAGCGGCCCCCCCAAATGAAAATGTGTTTAATAAGCTGCAACACCACCTCTGCCATCAGAGGTGGCTCAGAGTCACAGGCAGAAAGTAGCAAATATGTTTTTGGAAATATCAGTTGACTGAGAACTGTGCCACAACTTTAAAATCAATAAACTTATTTCTAGTTTGTCTAAAAATTACTATTCTGCAATTTTTAGATGCATCCCTGCTGTCAAATAACTAAATTCCCTCGTTGAGCTCTGCAGATGCCTTGTAAGCAGCCATTCATTTGATTCAGGTGTGTTGCAGGACTGATGCAGCTAAATATCATAGAATAACACCGCTTCAAGACTGGAATTGAGTACAAAATGATCTCCTGCTGGACATGAAATTGCACTTGGTTTAGAAACATATGGGTTCAAAACAGGAACTAGAAGCAAGCTGAGGACACTAATGGTGTTTCTGCCTTTTCAGTAAGGTTGAAACTGATGGTAGATGTGCAGAAATCTCCAACCTAAAGAAAGAAATACTCTAGATTGTGAGGAAGTGTCCTGATGCAATGGTTGAGTAAAAAGCGTGGAAGCTGTTATCTCATTGCTCATCGACTGTTTTCCTCATATCCCCGCTGCCCTTCCATAATCAAGAATTTATATTTAAACTTATTTACAATAAAGAGATGTGAACTCTTTTTTTTCTTTAAAGAGCGTATCTCTGAGCTCTTTGAATCTGCTTCTTTAGAGGCAAGCAGTCATTTCTCCTGGTGTGCCCAGACTCTAGTGTGTTAACTCCTGTGTGTGGTTGTTTTAATTTGTGTTTCTTCCTTCTATGTCCTCCTTATCTGTGTTGTGTCTGATGACTGTTCGGGATGGTCACTGGCGGTAGGTTCCCAATTGCTGTTGGATCTTCTTAAGCCTGCTGCTCTGATGTTTTGGTTTTTTTATAGCCTCTTGACAACAACTACTGCTCCCATAGAACCAAATATATGTAACTATGCATACTGTACATGTATATCTACTGTATATATGTGCCTACAACCTGCATATGCACATATATATGTATGAAAGAGACACTGGGTGCGCATTGATGAGGTTGACCCACACAGACTTTTTTTTTTGTGCCAAGCTGCCAAGGTCTCCAGCCTTTTGAATCTTTTATATTTCAAATGAGAGCAAAGTAAAATGATTGAGAGGCTGCAAGTACAGAGGTTTGGGAAACTGTGATAGACATACAGAGAGCAGTGCATAATTGTGAGGTGGAAGGAAAGAAATTCAATTTTTTTTACCATTAAAATGTGAAAAGCATGGTGTGCATTTGTATTCACCCACCTTGATATGCCAAAATTAAACCCAAATTGTGTTTAGATTTAGTAAATAGAGCCCACTTGTGTTTAACTTGGTGTGAATCCAGCTATTCTGTAAACGTCTCTGAGCTTTATTAAAGATTAAACGACACGAAGAACAACTAGCACAGGGCACAGGTCATGGATGAAATCATAAAGAAGTCGTTTGGCTGGAAAATATCTCAGAAGCTGAGATATTTTCAATGTCAATGGACAGTTTTAAGGTCCATTGACCTTAAAACTGCGCAAATTGGAATTGAGAAAATAAATTTGCGCCAGATTTGAAAAGTTCTTGCACACTGCAATTACAAAATTTTATTTTTTCTACATTAGCAGTATATTAACAAAGCTTTGCACACATTTGTAATGGAAATGCAGCGACTGAGCCGTGTTTATTCCATCATTCAACAATCCTAAATACACAGACAGAGCTACAATGAAATGTAGATCAAAAACATATATTTATGTTTTAGATTGGCTCAGTCAAAGTCCAGCCCAAAATCCAATTGAGAATCTTAGCCAAGACATGAAAGTGGATGCAAGCAATTCAGGAAAGAAGAATGAGAAAAACATTCCTCACTTTGTAGATCTTTGCTTCAGAAAACTATAATTCTTTTTACTTCCTCTGCATAATTATGTACTACTTTGTTTCTCACATTTGGTTGTGCGCGTATTTTGCAGTGCTTGTTTTGAAGCTGGTTCAGACGTAGCTTAGCATAATTTTTTTTTCCTGAAGGGTTCCGATAAAACTGATCAGATAATTTTTCCTCAATCATTTTACCTGCTGCATTTTTCTCTCTTGCCTGTAACATCAAATTGCCCTAATTGGATGATTTTTCTGCTAAAGGCAGAGACCAAACCCAGCAGCAGCTTCCTGATCCAGTCTGTGTTGTTCAGCCTCCTGCTTTCACATGTTAATTTAACGAATAGAAGCAGGCCCCGATGTACAGTACATTACAACCCCCTTTTTTTACCAACACCTTCCACCCACCGCTGGCATGATGCTTCTAGCTACATCGGCGTAGAAGGGGGTTCAGCTTTAGGGCTATGATGACAATGTGACTGTATGTCTGAGGTTGTAACCAGACATGGGAATGAGGAATCACTAAAGAGCACTGTTTGTATGACAGAGAATGCTCTGCATGCCAAACGACGAGAGGCACCTCGGAAAGGCAACTCTTCACTCTGAATGACTGAGAACTAGTCTTTGCCTCTTTAATCGCATGTTTTCTTTTCTTATGGGGAACTCCCGCTCTCCTACCACCCTACCTCTCCTCCCTCCCAGTGCCACCACCTGCCACCCTCACCTCAGTGCCAGGCTAGAGACGGGCCACTTTCACCTCTCATCCACTGCCACTTCTCACATTTCCCAGTTTTGTTTTTTCTTGCCAAAGACTTAATCTCCCATCAAAGGAAATTGTCCTAATGCTATATTTTCTGAAAGCATCTCTCTCTCCGTCTTTCTGTTCTGTCCTCCCCAAGTATCTCTCTATCCTCTCATTGCTCTCATTTCTGGTGCCATCATTTGATCTTTCTTCCCCCCAGACTCAAGCACTCAGAGACTGACATAAAAGCACCAAAAGGGACCAGGCCTGGGGCTTTAGTGCATCACAGAGCATGTCCTGATGTTAACTGCCATGTTTTAGTGCTTGCTCCCTCTTATCCCCTCCTCGTTTTCCCCCTTTTACAGTTTGAAACAAGTGGGGGCTTTTGCAGGAGTAGGTTTTCGCAGGCAGGACCTGGGCAGGGGAACGGCTGGCTGGGTGCTAGCGCCCCGCTACAAACAGGCGGCACTGACTCTTGGTGGGTGTCTCCTTCAGGCCTTGAAGGATGAGGAGGATGCGGAGACAGGGCTGACTGAAACGCAGAAAGAGGCCGAGCCAAAGGAGGACGAGAAACTGGGCAAATTACAATACTCCCTGGATTACAATTTCACAGAGAATACGGTAAGGATCCGTTCTCCAAATCACTCACTGTGTGTAGATTTTGCAAAAAGACCCTCTTCTCGTAAGTATTGTCACATCTAACTTTAACGGTTTGACTGTATCTCTGTATGCCAAGGTTTTAAAAAGCTTTAAAAACTTTAAAAAGTTTCTGTTACACCATTAATACAGAAACACACGCAGTGGATGTCTAACAATAGTTTTCACCTGTTTTTTGGAGCGGAGAGTAATGCAGCATTGCTCCTCCATTACTTGTTGCTTTGCACTGAAAAGTAGCAAATTAAAATGTATAAAATAATATTTGCAAAAACAAAAAACTGACAGTGGTAGCATAGAAAGAAACACTCTTCTAAAACTACATTTTGAAAGCTATGAGCGTCTTATCTGTTAAGAGGTGAGGGTTAGCATAATAACGATTACAACCCTCACTAAATAGATAACTTATTCCCAGGTTTACTCTGTAAATAGCAAAACAACAAAAAGAACATTCTGCACAATAAAAGCTTGAAAACTTCTGTTTTCAACAGGTCTTTTTAATGCAATTGAAAAATTATTCAACTCCTATGGAGGAAATTTAATGTGATATGGATAAATTAGGCACAAAATACAAGCTGTTTGTATTTAACAAATCAAATTAAATAGCTACTTGAGGTGGTTTATCTAAATTAAAACACAAAGTTTAACTTTAAATGGCTATTGCTGTCTCTAAATAGTTTAAGCTTTTCATAACATAACAGTTTTTTGTCAGTAGTTTTTGTTTTAAATAAAAACAATTAGATTGTGTCCTTCATTTTTGTTGTACTGAAAAGTTAGCACACTGCGAGGATCCGCTTTGAAATCCTGCTTTAAGATCTGTAAAGAACCAAACTCAGCAGAGCATTTTTGCTCTTTTTGAAATACTTCCACTGCAAACCCTTGTTTGGAGTTAATGGTTAACTTTTTATATTTCCAACTTCTAAAAGAGCGACACATTAACCCCGCCGGGATTTAGTTTGCAGTTTATCTTGTTTTTCTATTTTATTTCTGCCTAATCAAACGTGGCCCCTGCAGATATCCGTCTTCTTTACAGTTTTTCCAGTGAGTGAGTTTTGAAAAAGCAGAATAAGGGATTAAATCAGCTTTCTTTCACCAGATGTTGTGCGACAGATAATGGAAGCGGTGCATGAACACGCTGTCCCTCGCTGGGCTACCGTACTCCGTTATAAACAGATCTGACAGCCTGTGATTAGGCAGTGGAGCTTCCGGCGTCTGTGCACCAAGCGTGCCTCTTTACATGAACTCAAACCTGATTGTTATATACGTTTTGAGTCTACGAAGACAATTTTAAGTTTGTTTGTTTTTCCAGGTGAAACAATTACACAATAATCATCTTGAAATAGTTTTAAAAGCTAGAAAGACATGCCCATGTGTTGTTGAAACAGATATTTCAGTCACTTTGATGATGAATGGAAGGTTGGAGGTATTGTTGCCGCATCACCTTCTCCATTTGGGTTAAAAACTTGACGAGAAGGATGAAATTTCTATTTGAATCAGATTAGATGCAATGGCTGGAAGAACCTTTTTTAAGAATAGCTGTGGATGTCAAGACAGCAGGAGGAGTTTAATTCTTATTACAAGTTTTTATTGTTGAGTTGTCTAATTTTCTCAGTGATTTCTCTCAATCCGATACGCATCTCAAAAAGGACTTCTAGCAGTTTTTTTGTTGCAAACGTCTGACTTTATAATCTCATCAAACTTCAAATACTTTTTTGCTGACTTTAACATGTAAAAGAATATTTTTAATGTGAAAAATTATTTTTTTTTGATAATTTGACTTTTGACATCAAAGAATCTCCAGGTTTTTTCTTGTAAACATAAGAAATTAGTCTTGAAATATCTGACTTTTTTCCACAGTGGCACTAATATTGTATATTACATTACAGTATAGCATTTAATCAAAGCACTAAATGCATTTGGACACCTTGTATGAGAACAATAGAGTTCAAATCTCTAAAATCAGCCCCTCCAATAAACAATGTATGTATATTTTTGCACCTGCACTCTATAATGGAAACAACACCCTCTCCCTGGTCAATATCAATATGTTTTACAGCTTAACCTGTGAATTATTCCTGACAGTGATGCTGCTAATGAAATTACACAGTGCACACATCGTAGCTGATCAGTCATCCATACCCTTATTTCTTTCGGAGGAGACAGCCTTTCATAAAAGGGATATTTTATGGACGATATTACATTTCACAGTGCTGATCTGTCTTGTACAGGGAGGCGGTGACAGCTCTCTATGAGGTTCTTGATTGCAAAGGTAATGAGCTCCACCATGGCTCTACAGTGTAATGAATGGATGACAGTTTTCACATTTGTGACACTGACCCCAAAGAAGCTATAGGCTGAGCTCACGGGACATCTTGGAAGTTAAGAAACAGGCCAAGCAAAAAACTCAGGAAGACATTTAGACCTTGATTCCTTCAAGAATAAGCTATGAATATCAAACCTACACAACTATGCTGTAAAATGTTGCCGTAATAATTTGCTATAAGCTCAAATAGTTGAAATATTCCTGAAAAAGTAGCCTTGGAGGTGTCAAGTAAGAGTGAGTTATAAATCCTTCTAAAAACTGTTTTTACTCATGAAAAGTATTTTTTAAATAAAAATAAATACCATCAATAATCAAAATGTCACAAATATGCTTCATAGACATGCAGTGCAAGCATACTAGTCTTTGCTTCACCTTTAAGACCCTCACTTTAAGATCTCCCCGCTAATTGATGTCGGCATGTTTAATGGGACTCTTGTCTCATGAAGGCCCCAAACTTAGCAAATGTCAAGTCCTTCTGAGGAGAAGCTGTAAACACCAGTTTCCATGTGTGCAAATACTAAATCAGGGGGATCAGGGTGGAGAAGCACTTGGAGATTAATGTCAGGTCCACATGGCAAAGCATTGTTTCTCTCTGTTAAGCACTGCAAATAGCTGCTGCCCGATGCTGGATTTATACACTAATGAGAGGAAAAAAGGTTTGTAAAAGATCCAAATCATTCAGGGAGCAGCGAGGAGACTACATGAGGCAAAGGCAGCAAATGAACCACAAAGAGCCATCTCAGCACAGCAGGAAGAACCACTTTCAACATCATTACTGTATTCATTGTTCTTATCGCAGGTCAGGCACAGCATCGTGTCCAGTCAGAACTCAATATTTATAAGAGATGAATTTAAAAAAACAGTCGTATTCGTTTTATTATCAGACAGTCAGCTAGCTTCCATACCGACTCTAAAAGCCTTTGTGGTGATATTCTATTCTGTGGAAGTGTTTATCGATGCACTAGGGAGAGAAAGTCCTCGGTGTGTGTGTGCTCATTCTGGTCAGCAGGCTGCTCACCGGGCTGCAGCTCAACTCACAAACAAAGGTTATACCAGTTAGTCCTTAGCTAAACAGGAAAATCCCCACAGATGTGCAAACACAGAGCCACTGTTGTTCCAGTTCTGACTCTGAGGTCTGGTGTCAGCCACATGGCTAAATCCAGATTTTTGCCGTTTTAAATGATGAAACGCAACAAAGCCAATTAGCAGAAGCAGCAAACTGGAAATCAGCCTTTCCAGGCACATCCTGCTCCAATCTCTCCTCAGGCATCAATGCCTTCCACGGTAAAGAAGGTGTGACATGAAGTGTCTCCTACTGACGGTGCTGATGGATGGATGGATGAAAATCAGCAGGACAGCATGCATTGAGCAATTGTTGCACATAAAGTCTAAGTGCCACTTCCTGTCTCCAGTGCTCAGCGTACTTCTGTGAAGGTTAAAGTAAATGACAGCTAGATTGGCTCCTTTTTGTCTTATAAGATATGCAAATATTTCCTCAAGGAGGATTCTGATATATTCTGTCATAAAACTTTAAGAGCTCAGATGTATTTACCCATCAACAATGGAAATATTTTTCTAAACCTGGTCAACAGGACATTAAAAACTTGCAGTATTTATAATGAATCATTAAAACTCAGGTTAGCTCAGGTAGCTCCTTATGGTATAAAATTGTTATATTATGAATTATAAATTATTATATATACTGTAAATTCAGTAGATTCCTGCATTTTCTCATCTGGAAATATTTCCAAACTGCTGATTTTGGAAAAAGTTTATTTATTCATAATTTTTATGTATACATATAAATATCACTAAGAAGATCCTGTTGAAGTAATAAAATAACAATTTTATCCTCCAATAATCTGGAATAAACTGCAAAACTTCAACTTGTTTTTTCTTAAATCTAATAAAGAAAGAAAGTTGCAAACTCCAAAAACGTTACTATAAATCGAAGATCATCCTTATTTCAAGGAACTGGCTGAATTTAAAACATAAAGCTTTGTGCTACATAACTTAAATGTATCTGCACAACTGAACAAGTTTTAGTAGATGGATTATTTCCAAAACAAAATCATGCAAAGCCACAGAAATAGCCCACAAACTTTTTCTTTGCATGTCTTGGTGGTTGTTTTTGTTCTCCACATGTTTATTTGCTGCATCATCACCGGTGGAGCTCCACACAGGAAGCTGATGCAGCTCCTGTCAGCTGTGGAGCTCCATGGCTGAGCCCCCTGGTCAGCCTCCAGATTGCAGCTTGATGGCTGCCTGATAGGAAGTTGATTGACTGACTAGCAGGACCTTTGAGTCGAGCCTCTGACTGACAGGTCAATCAGCCACCCAGGACCCCTGCTGTGGTTATCAATTGTGAACCATATGAGGAGGAAAAACGCGCGTCTCTTTCCTGGCGCGACACGCCGTGACCTTTATGGACTCTTCAGGAGCCGTCATGTTCTGCTTTTGTAACCTTCTAATATTGGAGCCGTCTCCCCATTAAAATGACACCAAATTATCTTTAGGATGTCATTACTATCTAGTGATTGATGCCGACATTTGCAGAAAGTTTCCTTTAGGCCCAGAGCCATACTTTGGTGGTATTTCTTTATCCAATATATGATTTGTGCGTCAGTCGACAGGCAGAGTTATAATCTGTGGACTCTCTTCCTGTTTCAGCTCATGGTGGGGATCATCCAGGCTGCAGAGCTGCCTGCCATGGACATGGGAGGCACATCTGACCCTTATGTGAAGGTCTACCTCCTGCCTGACAAGAAGAAGAAATTTGAGACCAAGGTCCACAGGAAGACCCTAAACCCAGTCTTTAATGAACAGTTCACCTTCAAGGTACGTCTTGCTTTAGTGGTTTGAGCTTTGGCTCAGCGCTCCAACACATTTGCACAGTTTTGTAGCTGGAAGTCTTTCACTTCTGTTGACAATCTGATTTGCATGCAGCCTTGAAATCTGGGAAGGTGTGCAGACAGCAACCAGCTGGTGCATTAATAAGCTCCTGACAGAATATCTCACACACACTAACACTCAGGCTCAGTATGATTGGGATTAACACAGGCAGATGCACCACTACACCCGGGCCTCCACACAGCCGTAATGGATGCGTGGCTGCAGTTTAGCAGTGGAGAAAGTTTTGTCATTTGTTTGACAGTTGAGAGCTCCGTTATTTGAAGTACATTGAGAATAATGCAATGAGACATTCGTTTAACTTTCCATGAGCAAGTTTTTATTTTTATCTGGTTTAATATCTAGACTTGGATCAGAAAGTTAAATCCAAAAGCATCTAAATCTCATTAAGAAACTTTCGTTAGGAAACACAAAGAAGAAAAAGTCCAGTTCTGACAATTTCTGAAATTATTCAGGCATAAAACGGCTCCTAAACTCAAGGCTGGAGGCGTGAGGACATAAGACAAATTGAAAGGAGCCTATTTAAATTTGACTTTTGGGCACTTTCCATTCAAACATAGAATCTGATTGGGCATCCTTATTATAGCTTTTTTTAATTTAGCCAGGTCCTTGTCTTTATTCAATCCAGAAAATGTTTAAAATGGGACTTTTTTTTTTATCCCATTTAATTTTTAGCCTTAGCAAAGACCTTAAAAGTCTGGCTTGTTGCTTATTTGACCTAAATCAGTCACCTTTAGACTACATTTAGGGATAATGTAGTTGTCTCCATAGATACATTATCTGCTTCTGATTTTAGATTTCCTGCTTAGACAGGATTTTACTTTACATTGATTCAAAGACGATTCTTTGATTAAATCTGCGAAACAATCCTTTTTAAGATTGCTTTTGTCCACTATTTAGGCTCTGTCATAATCAACTAGAGTAGCTGGGCTAAGGAAATGTTTAAAAGACCCTCAGAAAGCCTGGATTATAATTAATATAGACTACTATATGTACATATATTGGAAATAATACATGACAAAGAAAGATTCTTGTTTGTCTACCTGAGCCCAGACCTGCATGTTGAGTCCTTTTTAACTTAATATCTCAATAAAATTAATGAATTTCAAACAGTTCAACACTAATGTGACTAAAATCAAAGCAGATGGCAAGAAAGCTCTTAAAATGAAAGACAACCATTCAAACTGTCCTTGCTCCTGGCAAAGAAGTGACTTGCATAAGAAAACTGAAACAAGAAAAAAAATCAAGCTGCCCATATGAAAGGAGGAACGTCAGCATCTGTCAGGCTTTCCACAAGTCCAAAAACGATCCTAGGAGGTAGTAATGTCTGAACCATCACAGCTGCTGTGATTATTTTGAGACGCTGGAGATTTACCACTTCCACGTGTCTCAAAATAATCCTGGCAGCTGAAATCGGCCCGACCATACAATGACAGAAAATTGAGATTTTGATGCATTGTTTATGTTTGTTTTAATGTAGAAAGAATAGAAATCATGAATGAACCCAACTTTACAAAACCATATTTAGATAGGAATGTATTATGAATCTCCTTGTTTTCCATTGCAACTTTCTTACAATTCAACAACATTTTTCAGTTTATTTCCCAAGTTATCCTAGAAATCAGCTTAACATTGACAGATTTATTTAAGTCCATGAATTTAAAAATGTGGATGGTCTCTACAGAGCCCTAAGAGGAAATTGCACATATGGACTAAAAGCTGATAGACCACAGAAAATTGAGAGTTTTTCCAAACCACCTTTCAAATGCCAGATATACCTGGCGAGTTATTAGAGGGAAGACTTCGAATTTATTTCGCCAAGTCGGTGGAAGATTGGGCTTTGCATGCATAATGCCTTATTATTCTGAAATACATGCAAATCGCAGCACAAGTTTCTTGTTTAGGATGGAGGGCACACAGAGTATTGCGCAGTATTTATACAGAAAAGCAATCGCAGCCACATCTTCTCATACTGCTGTGGTGAAAATCTTGATAGCGTTTGCACCTCCATGTTCTGAAACCTACTGATGGTGCTTCCTCCTCCAAAACGAGGCTGAAACTGACTGTGGACGTGCAGAAACCTGGAAATGGATGTCCAGAAAAACGGTGAAAAAAGATAACAAAGGGAGACGAAGTGACTGAAACAGGGTTCTTCAGGTCTGATTTGACATTTGATTTTGCATCGAGGTTCCCGAGACATTAAGGTGATCTTCATCCATTGCGAAGGGAGCAGTTTTTAGCCGCCTTCTGTACCCAGGACATCTTCAAAATGGAGCAAAATCTGCTTTAAAGGTTAGTTTGGTTGAACTGCTTGTTTTAAAGGCCCTGTTTCATCCCTAGGTGCCCTACGTAGAGCTTGGTGGCAAGACGCTGGTAATGACGGTGTACGACTTTGACCGCTTTTCCAAGCACGACGCCATTGGCGACATCAAGGTGCCCATGAACAAGGTGGACTTCAGCCGCGTAACGGAGGAGTGGAGAGATATACAGAGTGCTGAGAAGGAAGAGGTAAGGCTTCACATCCATGCCAAAAATATTACGCAGACATGTCTGCCATTATCTCGCTTATGTTATATCACGCAAGGCTCAAATTTGACATGTTGTACCTCTTGTTTCCATAATAGGAGTGTTTTTATTGCATAAGTCATTACTTTGCTGCTGCTTGTTCCTCAAACACGCTGATGAAATCCATTTCTCCTCGAAATGCCACTTAATCATATGTCCACACTTCCTGTTCAATTAATAGAAGTGAGTTTCCAGTCTCCAGCTCAGGAAATTCAATTTTCATGGTAAATGTCATGGCATATAGCACATGTTGGCAACCTTATTTTTAGCATTACAGTGGGTTGGTTTGAAGGTTAATTATCACACCATGGAGTGGATGGAGGAGTTATTTAGTTGAAGGGCATCACTTGGCCGTGTTGTGGTGACTGCACTGCTGCTTATATCAACACTTTATATTCCTCATGCTGACCATCTATTTTTCAGCTAAGCCAAGTAATTTTGGGTGTCCTACACATTAAACAATACTTTCTGTGCTTAATGTTCATGGTTTTTAATGTCGATGCATTTGAAAGAAACATTTTTCAATTATTGAATCACCAGTTGGTCTTTGTAGTTGTTTAAAAGGAAGAATAAAAAGCCTGGATCTTCACTATTCCTATGTGTTTTTATGTTTTGCAGCCTCTGGTGCCTTGTGTTAAATAAAAGTGATATTTATTATTTATATCAGATACAATCTAAGGTTGCTGAGTAGAACAAAATGCAAGTTGAGGACTTTGGACATTTTAGCAATCTGGTCCTGATTAAATCCTGATGAAAACGTTCTGAAAGGTCAAAATTCAGGACAAGTTTGTTGATTTTGAAAACCTTTTCTTAAAATTGCTACACATTAAAAGGGTGTGTGCTGCATTCCTTAGTTCGATGAAGGAGAAATCCAGAGTAGGACTAACTCTTTAAGCCCACCATAATGAGGCAGTGTTATGATGCTGATTTGTGAGAAGACATGAAGTGATTGCAGCACTTTTCCCCCAAACGACGTAAGTGCAAAAGAGCTGATTTTAGAAGCAGGATAAAGCAGAAAACACTTGAGAGATGCAGTTTAATCTCAAACAGACTTAAGTTTAGCAAACTAAATAGTTTTGTTTTACATATTTTTACTTGACCATTGACATATTGTCTTTTAACAGCTTGTCACACATGGTAAAACATTTAAAACACAATTGTTTTTTATGTTCATATGTTTAGCACGTTAGTTGTGCTGTAGATTTCTCCAACGTTTTCCATACATGAAAGAAAAATCAATCTGATCTAAAACAATTTCTGTAAAAATGCTAGGGCTTTTAAAGCAACAATAGAAAATGTCTAGACTTTTACGCCTTCATTCGTGCTGATTTGAGTCGAGCATTGTTTAATAACTCTGTCAGTATTCGGTACATTAATCTTTGATACAGATGCAGTGATGCTTCTGAACATCCAATCTCATTTCTTCTGCTGGTGAGGAGCTGAAATAAACAGGCATAAACATGTCTGCTGTATTGCAGAGGGAAGTGACAGCTTCGTGTTTTTGCTCATCTGAATTGTTTCTTTGTAATCTCTCCTATCGACAACCCAGTGAGATAGAACATTTTGATTTAGTTGTTCTGTTTTTGTAATCATTCTGTAAAAGTTTGGAATCCTGTTTAATGGTTTTATATCAAAATATGCCATCCATTCTTTGGTTTTTGTCAGGCTCCATTTTCAAAACCTGATAGCTGTTGTTACGTCCGACATAAATTCAGAATGGACTCGATTGGAAAAGCTCTGACATAAAAGGTGTCGAGTGTATCACTATCTGTGCTCTTCAACAGCAAGAGAAGCTGGGCGATATCTGCTTCTCTCTCCGATACGTTCCCACTGCGGGCAAGCTGACCGTGGTCATCCTGGAGGCCAAAAACCTGAAAAAAATGGACGTGGGCGGCTTGTCAGGTGAGGAGCTTAAATGGTGTTAATATGAACCCAGTGACTATTTCAGTGACAGGGCCTTTGTCTGTAATTATATGTGCACAGCAGCACTCTCTTTGCCTTTCCCACAACACTACTGTTTCTCCATCTCTGTCTTCACACAAACTCTGCTTGAATTTCACATGAATAAATTTGTCCTCTGGTTTACGATAATGTCCAAAGGATGCAAATCTAGCTTGTAATGGTTGTTTATTTACATTTTGAAAATTAAGTGAAACATATTTCAGTTTTTACATAACTCATAGAATAAGGTGATGGATAAGAGCTTCTATATAGTTATTACCTGGTTGACCTTAAAGCTTTTAAGCTCTGAAAACCTTTTCCTGCTTCTAAAAAAAGTGAAGATGTTGTGGATTGTTTCATATGTTGGAGATTTGTGAATTTCACTGGTTTTGTGACACTTAACTGCATTGAAGTAGAATAATAAATCACCTGGTTGCCCCTGTATGCTGCTGCATTTTTTATTTAGGGACTACTTTAGAGGTTGCATAAAATGTTTGAAATTTGTGTTGAATTTTAAAAATAAAATAACGTGGGTTACTGTTTGGATATTTCTCCTCCTAATGGATTATGCGCAGTTTATTTTGTGCAGTGGCTCAGAAAAACAAGACACCTGCTCCCACATTCATCATTTGAATTCACTTTTAGGAATCGGCATGTTCTCTATCAAATTAGGTCTATTTTTAATGTTTGATTCGAGCATCTTTTCAGTCAGATGCATTTAAAAATCCCTCCATGCATGTACTCTAAAAGCACAAAATCACACCGTAATCTGGCTGCTGCTCCTTGGATTTTTTTTCCTCGGGTTCAATTTGCATTCCCCATTGTGCATTTCCCTCCTGCCTCGACTCTTTCCGGCACAATTACCACACACCTGGGTCCACTTGCCTTGTGCTTGACAGGCCAGTCTCACTATGTGCCTAAACAACGTGCAGGACAGTAACACAGTTCGCATTAAAAGCTCAGAGCTCCCTTTCATCTTTGAAACCAATGTGAGCAGCCATTTGGCCACAATGGGTTTGGGAAACCATCCCCTGCTGCCATTTTATGATAGCAGCATTAGCTCTCACCACTGCCGTCTTTGCATCCTGAGATTGTGAACATTTTGAACTTTCACCACATCAATAAGCCAGCAAAGGAAAAATGCTGCCGTTCTTTGACCAAACAGCTTGAGAACCGGTTTAGTTTGCCTCTGCACAGCTTGTTTCTTACGGCCAAATTTCACTTTAATTCTTAATGTTTTTGCTGCTGCTTGTGCTTTTTCTCTGTTAAAAAAAAAAAACTAAACAGTGCGTAGCAGAGGGATGAAATAACGGGCAGGTCTTCAACAACAATAATTAAGTTCGATGCACAGCCAGAGCTTAAGAAGGAGGACATGTAATTGATGGCCTGGGATCAGCCTTCTCCCCTTTTGTCATCCTGTTTACCATGCCTAATTATGGCTCACAGTGGAAGATGTGGGAATTATCATTAACCAATGTATAATCAGACATTATTCTTTTGATTTGCTCCTCATGAAGCAAACTGTGAGCCTACCCGCACACTGGGTTACTTAAAAAGAAGGCTGCAAAATTGTGTTTTTAAAAGTTCTGGGTGACTTTTTCCTGTTTGTGCGTGCCGTGATGTTCAGAGCACCATGTTCTTTAGCTGTCGTCTTAAAATAATCCCGCCCTCATCACAGACAACTCGCTCCTTTCTTCACTTTGCAGGATGCACAGTTTATAGCGACAACACAAAGCCATTATGTTGACTTGTAGGCAATCAGATTTCACTGAATTGTTTAACTCCAGGGGGCATTTTTTGTCCAACAGCCAAGAAAATGACTTATTCACTCTCATAACCTCTAAAACTCTTTCAGTCTCCCACGGATGTGTCATTCTGTTTTGTGCAGTTTATCTAATTGCAGTGCAAAATGGAGCATCTACATTTTTCAAGCTAATGCACTGTAATACTGGTATAAACGATGTCTGAAATGATTCAGAGGTTTAGTGAAAGGCTAACTTCCTGAGACTAACTCAGTATGACGATATCAAGACTAAGAAAGTGTTTTGTTTGCCTCGTTTTGTACTTGTCGAGGTGTCTTGGAGAGGCAGCATAAAACCAAGTAATGGCCTGCAAAAAGCGGTGCCGTTTGGACGGTAATGAAGCTGCACTGCCCTGACCCGAGGCGATATCTCCGCATCGCGTCTTTCTGCTGGAGGGTTTATTTATCTTATGCTTCTGACTGGTCCCACAGGGAGGCTTCCTCCAAGTTTCTGTGCAAGCCAGCAAGCTTAAGGGATCATTAGATTGATGTAAAGGCAATTTAGAAGTGATTAGAGAACACGTTTAAATTGGTGTCTTTTTTTTTTTAGAATTATTTAAGCTTCGAATGTTTACCTAAAAGCTTAATTGCCTGGTTGAACTCAAGCTTCTAACTTTTAAAGCTGCCATTAATAGATCAGAGTAATTTGTCTGACTGCTTGGCTTTGGCACAGATGAACTATGCTGATTTTAATTAAAGCAATGTTTTACCATTGAAGCTTTTGGGGTTTATAATTTGGCTATGATCCCTTATTGCTGATCAACATTCTTGGAAAAGCTGATTGGGAGTTTTTGCCTTTCACCCTATGGATTTAGCTTTAACATAATTTTAATGTGCATGTACTTTATTTTCTGACGTTATTGGTTCAAATCTTTCTTGGTAGATTTCATTGGGTTATTTAACATTTTTAAAACTTACTGAACAAAGATTACATGAGGGGTTTTATAAGGTTTGATTTTCAGACTTGAATTTTCCCTCTTGCTCCACTTATTTTGACCTAAATGCTTACAAAACACCTATAAGCCGCACTGGGCTATAAGCTACTGATATCTCCACCTCTCTGTTTTCCACAAGGAAATAAATCTATTAAGGATGCAACCATGGATTCGTTCACGCCGAGCTTTACGTGCAGCGGCTATCGATCTATCCTACCGGATCTGTAGCCCTCAACTTAAAAGCGGCATCAGATGAACGTCTTTGTGTGGTTTCCATGATGAGGGGGTTTGAGTTTGAAGAAATTTCTGTCATCCCTGCTGCTAGCATGTGCTTGCTCTAAATTAAAGTTAGCACTTCCAATGATTTACTTTCTGCTGAAGCGCCCCCTGGTAGCTGAAGAAAAATCCACAGAAAGCCGCACCGGGCTGCAAGCCGCATGGTTCAAAGCGTGGGAAAAAAGTAGCGGCTTATAGTTAGAAAAATATGTTAGATGAAATGAGTTTTGAAGAATTTGGTATGAAGACAGTGATTAAGTCAGGTGAGCTAAACAGCTTAAAAGCTTCCACTGTGGGTCAGGCATGTTCCAGTCATGTAAACAAGACGCACTATGATACTAGAGGTCTCTACTAGATAGGAAGGACCTTGTTAGTGTGGAGCACAGAGAAGAGTTTTTACTGTAAATGCTTGTGTGTTTGTTGGAGACATATGATTCACCACTGAGCTGAATGTGTAAAACTGAACCGACAGCCACCCCTGGGTGCACCCACCATGGCAAATCCTAAATGATGGGAGGAAAGCTAAGATGACAGGCGAGCTATATTTAACTGAGCAGTATTGGTGTTCATTTGGCACAACTCTGCAGGCGCCCACAGTGTCCACACTCGAGGGAATATCTGGAGACGTTCTGTATCTGTGTTCAAAACCTGTACTGCAGAATCGATTTTAGGCATCTCCACTCCGATGAGAGAGAAAAGGAGTCACCACTTTAAGCACTTCCCAGCTTGAAATTCAAAAAATTAGGAACTTGACTCTACTCTGCTGTAGATTTGGGTCGGAGCTTATCCACAATCCTGTCTAGCTTTCAGAGGAAGATGTATGGATCACTGATAGTGCACTCCCCTCCCAAAAAAAAAGACCTGGGCCCAGATCCAGGGCGCAGATGAGTAACCCTCTGGGCAGAGAAGACAAGTCCCCGCTGTATGCATATGTGAGGAAGCACTCTTGCATCACAAGAGCTCCCATTCAACCGTAAAATGGGAGCGATTACATCCGTCTGGGATGAGACGGAAAAATGGGCCGGATATGAGGTACAACGAGCCTCCCGAAACCCAATAATGCCAAACCGTCATCTGCTGGCTGCAAAGATAAGAGCATCTGGATGGCCCTGATGCGGCATCACATGCGTTTCCCTTTTCAGCATCAGAAAAGGGTTATCATGTGTAATCCCATTCAGCTGCTGCTTTGTATTTTTTGGGCATAAAGAAACAGTAGAACTGACTATTGTAGCTTTGCTTTAGTTCTGGATTTAAAAGCAGCGTGAATCAGGCTTTAAAAAAAAAAAACAGCAATAGAAAAACATTCTTCACTTTCTTTTATGCCACTGAGGAAAAAACCAGGTGCAAAAATTAAACAAAAACAAAACTATTTGAATAAAAGCACCATAATCCATTCTTGCCAGGCGTTTAAAATGTTATTATAGGGAGCACAGAAAGTTCATTAAGCCTTAAATATCTAAATTAACGCTGCTTTCCATTTTAAAACGGCGAACATAAACTATCCTAGCAACCTAAATCGTGCTTTTATTGCTTTATGTTTGTTTTTGTCTCTTGGAACAATTAGGCCAAAGATACTGTTTATTACTGTTGGTGATGTGAGGCCTTGTTTTATTTTAATGAGGATTAGCCTACACTGTTTGGTATTTGCATACTTTATCCTAGTTTCTGATAATAAAAATATAATTTGTAAGTTAAATATTTATTTCAACTTTGCTTGTTGCCGTTTTATAAACCTTTTAACACATTTCAGCGTTCAATCTGTTAAATCCACAGTCCAGGCTCCATGTTGCCGTTTACTATAGTACGTGTTTGTGTTGGATACGTCGTACATGTGAATACTTTTGGATGCATTCGTTTCCTGCGACAACAGTCACTTCCACTCCCATGCACTCAGCCCTCCTGCACTGTTTTCATCTTCTCGGCGCTTCAGCTCCTCTCAGCAGGAGAGTAATAATGGACACCCACTCCATTAGAGGCCTGTTACCTTTTCACTCTCTGTCATCTATTTATTTTGCTGCTTTTCTCCATCCCCAATTCTGTTTACGCCGTTTTCTCTCTATTTTCGTGTCAGATGCCTTGCTCCAGTCCACCACTCTGCAGTCAGGCCCTTATCCCTCTCAATTGGATGAAAGATTAAAGGAGCTAAGCTCATTCAGTTGTTGCTGCTACTGGAAATCTTGCATTCTCTTCTAAGAATATTTTCTCTGCCATCCAAACGGGGCCTCTCCAAAACTTTATAAAGACTTTGTGCATATTGAATTCAGAGATAAATCCAGATTACCCAAGTCAGTGGTGTGTCATCGACTAATTATGAGATCGGATTCAGTTTTGGTGCTTATCCATTCTGACGCTCTGAGCCTTGGTGGAGGATATTGTTGGCTCTAGATCTCATTTGATCCCTAATATCATTGTGGGTATTTGTTCCTTCCTCACATGCTTTTTACAAACCTGTTTTTCAAAATAGTCTGAGTTTCTTTTAGTCTTTTTAAAGTGATTTTACCAATAAATATCCAGTTTTTCTGAAGCATTTTGCTTATTTTTGTCCCCGTTTCTTCCTTACAATTAGAAGAACTTTAAATTTGATCAGCTATATTTTCCCTTTCCTGAATGTTGAGAAGAAAATGTGTAGTAATTTTTTTCCAAACTCTTAGGCCAATAAAAAATAAGAAATGTTAGAATTATTCAGAATTAATTGTATGAGTTCATTAGAAAAGTTTGCAGTATTTTAAGTTTAACATTATAATCTGAGATTAAACCAGTAATTGCTTTAGCAAATGAAGAAATGACCACAGGAGTTCAAAACTTATTAATTACACTGTAAATCTATAAATCCTCCTAATTCAAACACCATTAGACTGATAGTAATGCGAACCTGCTTACAGTGTTAAAAGTAAAAAATAATTGAGATTTTATGGGGGTATATTAGTAATTAGAGGGACCTGATTTGAAGCGAATAAAGAAATTTGATCCATAATTAGTATAATCTTGACATTCTGAGATTACATTTGCTGGTTTAACAAACAACTTCTGGGGTAATTTTCTCTCAGAAGAATAAATATTCCTTCATTTTCCTCGTTTTTATAAAAGAGTCTAGCAGCAGTGCTGTGTATGAGGTGGAGAGGAATATAAATTGACAGGAGCGGTGCATATTATACCCAATACTGAATCCTTTTTCATCCTTTGTGGAAATTGCAGTGGACCTTGTTACATTCTTCTCCTGCCCATAGTTTAGTCTCATTAGGCTCCCTCTGAATGTGCAAATTAACTGCCTCACCTTGTCCCTCCTAATGGCTCGATTAAAGCCAAAATATAAAATAAAAAGCCTTTATTTCATAATTTGAAAAGATGATTGTTCCCGTCTTTAGGAATCCAATCTCATTTGCCGAGCTCCCCTCTTAAGTATAATTTTGGTTACAGTTTGGAGAACATAAACAAATTGGATGGATAAATGAAAGCAATAGGTGGCCTGCGGTTTCCAGGAGGACACTCAGCATGATTGCCAGAGAGTGGGAGAGGACGGATAAAGCAGACCAATTGGGCGCCACTTCAGGTGGCGTTCGGACCGATGACAATGAGGCTCTTGAGAAGAGAAGGTTAACTGACTGATGCAAACACAAGAGGCTGATAGCCATCATTTGTAACCTCATGCAGAGCTGTTGATCTATTGTAGCATATATTTTCTAAGGATTTTACTCCTCTTAGCTTCATATATTTAATGGCTTTTGGAAGCCATTCTAACTGTGCAATATTAGCCCTGCAGCACAGCTGGTTGATACAGGAAGTTAGAAAAGTAGCAGTTATCGAACTGGTTCACCTATAAACCACAATATTCAAAGTCGGGGGCGACGGTTTATTTATATGTTAATTTTAAAAATAATTCATGTAAATATTTAGGTGTTGCTATGAAATACATCCACAACTGTATCCCTGTGAACAAGAGAAGTTTGGTTTGATTTAACTTCCAACAATGAGGACAAAAGGGGTCTTTCTGTCCTGTGTATGTAAATAAACTGTTTCAGTTGCACACTGACGTTGTTTTACAGAAGATTTAATTCTAAATATCAAATTTGTTTGCTCCGCTTTTCTAGATCCATACGTGAAGATCCACCTCATGCAAAATGGAAAGAGGCTGAAGAAGAAGAAAACGACAATCAAGAAGAACACCCTTAACCCTTACTACAACGAGTCCTTTAGCTTTGAAGTCCCGTTTGAACAAATCCAGGTACGTTTCTTCTGTCTTAAAAAGCCTGTCTTCTAATTGGTAAGTTGCCAACAAGTTGGGGGGGAAAAAAAATAATAATTTTTGTATATTAGCTCAAATAAATAGGAGTTCATTTAGCAAATAATCTTTTTCATCATAACAGTTCAATCAAAGGCAATTCAGTTTCAATCGGCCTCAGTTCTCCAATTAGACGAGCCAGTTGCTGAGTGTCTGTGATTCTCTGCACTCCGTTATTGTGTGCGGCATTTATCTCATTTATCTGTTTGTAGAATTTCTTACAGCGTAACGATCATCAAACCTATCAACATCAAGCTGATTTTAACCAAGTGTTACAGGAGGAAGGGAAAAATTTAGTCTTTAATTTAAAACGGGTAAATCCGATGACTCGGAAAGTATGAAAAAACAAACCAGATTATCTTGGTAATTGAGTGAAATTAATTAAACCTGTCACAGCTCACCAGTCATGAGTTTGATACCCCTAAATCAGATCTGATCGGATAAACACTCATACCTGTGTGCCGGCTAGCTGTTTATCACCACGGTGGATTGAATCGATTTAATCAGAAGCGTGTCATTGATTAAATATATTGAACACTTTTCGGACGGCACTAAGCACACTTTAAAGACCTAATTTGTCTTGGGCAAATCAGTCAAACACTCTGAGCTGGCTGTAAATGTTAAACTAATGAGCTGTTTAAATATCTTCTCCATCGCCGATGGCTCCTGAACGCTATGAAATCTGCTGACTTTAATTACGTTCTCACACCCACATATCATCGATGTCTTTGAGGAACGCAGTTTAAATTGTCAATCTCTCTTTTTACTTCAACTTGTTACCTTTTTCCAACAAGTTACACTTTTATAAAAAGTGTTGAATTCATTTTAATTATGTTTTAACTCTGAGAAATGTTTGTTTTATTTTTTGTTACACCTAAATGTTTCCTATGATTAACCTGAGTAAATACAACAGTTTTTTTTATTAAGCCTAATAAAAAAAACAAACCAGATTATCTTGAAAATGCATTTTAAATGTATTTAAAATGTATTTTCAAGACAGTAGCGCGTCTCCTGAACTCAACAGCTCCTAAAGAACATTTGGTTAATCTAAACGGGAAGCAATACAGATTTACAAATCATAGAGCAAACATATAAGAAGCTTTCTAATTAGAGTAACTTGTTTATCTCTGTTTGATGTGAAGAGTCAAAGCAGAAGATTTTGACTCTCCAGATGAAACCACTACATAGATTCAGTCTGAGGAATTTCCATATTAATGAATCAAGGTGGTTCAGAATCAAAGGAAGCCTTATTTCAATAAGCAAACTGGAGGTGAACTGCAGCTATAAAGCCAAGCTAACCCCAACTGGCCTTGAGGGAGCCTTATTCAGTGTTTCATTACATGCTGTATTAGCCACGCTCTTTTAAAGCAGTGGCTTGGATCGCACGCAGGTGGCGGCGGCGACAGCGGCTCCATCTCAGTGTGCCGGTGGATCGAAACTTAATCAGGCCGCTTCGTGCGCTAATTCATATTCTGAGCTGTGGATTGATGCTCAGGTCACTCTTCTTTGCAGCTTCACTTTGAATAAACACACACTGGAGCTGAGGGCTGGAGTCCGAGGAATCAAACAATCAAGCAGCAGTCAATAAAACCCCTCTGCTTCTCTGAGGAAACTTTATGGTTTCTGTGGAATAAAGAGAAGCACGTGTAGTAAACATTATAGACTTGATGCGTGCAAAAGTGGAAAAACAGCAGCAGGGATTGTGTGCAGAAAGACATTCCAATGACGTTGGTGTTTTTAATTTATTGTTAAATGGGCATTATTATGTAAAATTTAATTTTTAGATCTTTACATCATCAAAAACACAACTGACGTGTTTCCTTGATTCTTTAATGTATGTTTTATGAGTGTGAGAAAACACCTCCCTCATGACTCCTTCAGACTAGCCAGTAGTAATTAGCAAACACCTGGTGGAACTGTGCATGTGCTGAGCTCGTTATACGAGCTACTTCTTAGTGCAACACTGGTAAAAACTTTGTTGGAGTTAATAGTGACGTTGTGTTGAGTTCCTAAAGGCAGAGATTCAGAAAGAGCTTGACTTAAAGAGACAGAGGCCCAATTTCAAGCCATTAAATTAGAAAATAAAATTCCTTTTGTCATATTTGATATATACAGCATTTCTATCACAACAGGGGGTAGCATAGTTACTTGATTGTGCTATAAAATGATACAGTATCTGGAAAACACTGAAAGCATCAGTATTAGTGGTCCTGCAACAAAAATGTGCGGTTAGGGATTCCTAAACCAGCTGAGCGTTTCTAAAACAAAACTGCGCATCTGCTGTCTTCCCCACCTCCCGTCTCTTCCTCCCACTGCAGAAAGTCCAAGTTGTTATAACTGTTCTGGACTATGACAAGATCGGCAAGAACGACGCCATTGGCAAGGTGTTCGTGGGCCTGAACAGCACGGGCACAGAGTTGCGCCACTGGTCCGACATGCTGGCCAACCCGCGGAGACCAATCGCCCAGTGGCACGTGCTGAAGCCCGAGGAGGAGGTGGACGCGCAGCTCGCCACCAAGAAATAGGCAGGGGCCACTTTCAGCTCCTTGCCTTGTAGTACTCTTTAGCCAGTTTGTGTAAATACCTCAGTGATATATGGGTCCATCCATCTAAGCCTCCCTTTACCTTCTGATTGCAGAGTAAATCAATCAAACGTCCCGCTTTTCTTTTTCTGTTAGGTTCTCTGTTTCTCTGATTTGATTGGTTTCCTTCTCTGAGCCCTTCACCACCACGACCAAAAGCCCCCTTCTTTTAAGCAATATGATCTGTATAGATAGCGCATGACTGAAAGAGTTTATTGTACCACAGTTGTATATATAAGTATGCAGACAAAAATGATTTCTAGTTTCTGTGTTTGTATGTTGTTACCCGTTTCCTAATCTGTGTATATCTCGATGTTTTTAATAAGATGTTCTATTTTAAATTATGTAAATGCAGATATAGAGGAAAGCTAATATTATATAACCCAGGATTTAAAAATTCTACCTTATTACTTTATTGCATTCCAGAGTAAAAAGACAATTAACTCCAACCTACAAGTGAGGGAAATGTTCAGATCGTAAAGGACGGCGTCTGGCTTTAAGTTCAGCATCAAGCATAGAGAAACAGATGAATATAAACCAATACAAGGCCATTAACTGCTATGGTTCTGTTGGGGAAATTATGCTGGACATTTTACAAGCACATGACTCCTAATGACGTACTTAGTTCTCTACCAGGACCTGCAGTATTTGTTTGGGTTGAACAGATCACAGTTGAGTCTGTCTTCTATTCATATTTGGCCAGATATTTTTGGTTTTTGTCAAAATTTGTTGAGAAACAGACCTGTTTGGGGGGGGTAGAAAAAAAAAGCACCAAGCTGTAGCCATTGTGCCCTTAATCTTGTTTGACAATATTTTGTTTAAACAGCCTTGTCGTAGTTGGAAGTGTCGCGGTTTAAGAAGGTTAAAAAATAAAAAAGATGCAGATCTGGACTTAAGATGACTATTTTTTAGCGCAAATCAGCGTGTTGACTATTTTTAGTAAAGTGCATGATACTTTTTATTTTTACGATCTTTTACTTAAGGCCGGCAAACACCAGGGGGAGCTCTTCTGTTATGATTCCCTTGCCTTCTAACAGTGGAGTGGCCTAAAAAAAAAAGACAAAAAAATCAAACTTTTCCTCAACTGAATGTTGAGCTTCTAAACACTGCCATTCAGGGGGGCGGCTTGACCTGAGAGCCTCTCTTCATGCACACTCCCACTTGCTAGTGGTCGTAGCTTCGGTTTTTTGGGAACAATGTCTCTGGCTGCAGTGGTGCCCTAAATCGCAGTCTTTGCTTTGCGTTGCCTTCTCACAACAACAATAGAGCTAGCCATGTTTTACTGCCAATTTTAACTTTTATGTGGCTGCTGTTTTTGCACTGGACGTCTTTGAAACTCGTTCTAGAGAACATGTTTGCTTTGTGTTGGGACACCTGCAGGGGGAGCCAGAGATCCTCACAAGGACAAATTGCATTGGGTTTTTTTTTAAGCAGGCAAGGAATTAAAAATCGAGGTGTGGGGAAATTGGCCCATCAATTTAGTAAACCGTACATTAGTAGCATTGGTTTGTTTTTAGGGGACATTTGCAGGCTTTTTATGCTCAGAATATAATTTCGGATTATATTTTTTTCAGTTTTAAGTGAACAATTCAACTCCAGTGCTCAAAAATTATGCTGTTTTGCTTGCTCTAAAACAAGAAGTCAAACTTTTCTCCTAAACTGCTCTCAAACTGGAGTGTAAACCACTCCAAGAGTACTCAAAATAGAGAAAACGGGCTTTAATCCTTATTACAAGGATACAATTTGAAGAAAAGATTCCTTAATTCCTTAATATGAAGGATAAGAATCCAGTGTGTGCATACAGTTTTTATAACTACAGTAACAGGTTGCAATTTGTACAGAAAATTCTCTAAACTGGGAGAACAGACCGCAACCGGTATGAATGGTTTTCAAACCTGCAGATTCTAATCCATGCATACACGTTCCCAAGCTGACAGGATGCATTCCCGTCTAATCTGAAGGAATGGATTGAATCCTTACTGTTGGGTTTTCAAACTGCTGGAATAGATTCCAATCTGTGCTTCCTAAACTGAGAAGATTTGCATTGCATGGTTAGGTTTCCTCAACTAAACACGACTGATTGCAATCGTACCTCTTTCAAAACTGCAGGAACAGACAGCAGTTGTTCATGGAGTTTCTTTTACTGATGAAACCGACTGTAATCCACACATGTAGTTTCCCAGTTTTAATGAGTAGATTGTTGTATGTGTTTAGTTTTCCAAAGTGAATGTTTGAATTTCAAATTGTAGTTCTTGAGTAGGTTTGAAATCTGATCACATTCAGTGCATCTGGTTTTCTAAACTGTGAAGAAACTGACTGCAAATTCCTCTGTACAGTTTTCTAAACTGAAGGAGCAGCTGGCAATCTGTGTATATTTTTTATAAACTAAAGAAAGGTACAATAATTATGCACAGAGGAGATGAGCTGTGTAGGTTTCCTAACCTAGAGCGCACTTTGCAGTCCATGCATAACTTTTATAAACTAAGAGAACAGATTTCAAACTGCGTACAGTTTCCTGAACCAGCAAAACGTATTTCCCCCGCCTCCATTTTTTTATTCCACCTCCTTGCCTGTGTTGGGCTCCGCACCATTAGGCCAACAGCTTCAAATTACTTTTGTCGCTAACCTGGAGAGCAGGGAAACAACCGTAAAAGTTAATGGTCTGCTGTGTCCATCGTGTCCTTTACTTACGGGTCCAATTAGGAGCAGAATAATCCATGAAAACCATGAAGTCTCTTATCTCGGAGGAACCTCTTGCATATACTCGATGCTTATATTTCAGGAGGACTTTCTAAATGTTTTCAATGTTATTGTGTAGTTGATAGCACTATTATGAAAAAGCTACTTGTCATTCCATAGGAGTCTCTGAGGACTGCTTTGTGTATCACTGTGACTGCCGTGTGTGCTTAGAGATGTAGATTTATCAGTAGGTAGCGAGTTCGTTCTGTAGTGATGTCGTAGCGTTTAACGCCATCCCCCCGCCCCCTTCTACACGCAACCAGAGAGACAGAGTGAGCGCGCGCACGCCGCCGCCTGACGTCGCGCGTTTTTATCTGAGCGGGTCGCTTTCACACAGCATTTTGTTGAGCACTGTGCAATACTTGTATGTTCATCCCATAGTGTAAAAATCAGCGAGGATGGCGTTTGTCCTTCCTGGTGAGGCGGTACGGACCATAGATCCAGCCTGTTCACCTCCTTTTAGGGTTTTCCTCCCTCTTTTCTTTTCTTATTTTTTTTTCTTCGCAGGTTCGTTTTTCTCCTCTTGCACACAATTCCAGCATCAGACGCTTCAGGGAGTCTCAGTTCAAAACCAAACAAGATAAATATCCCTAAAAATGCCATGTATATATCCACATCATGTCAGAAGTAAGTAAAACGGTGAGATAAATATATCTATTTAGCAACTAGTATCATTCAACATTTTAAATCTCATCATTATTAATTTTATGCCTTATTGAGTCAAAATCCCTTTTTTATATTTGAGAAGAAACTTTGAATGTACAGTACAAACTGTGTTGGTGTAGATTTCTTTAATCGTGAGATTATTAGATGTACTTTGCACTTTTTGTTGTAACAAAAAAGTACACATAGTAACTTAAATGATTTTTAAACTCTACATTCATAACCTGTGTGAGGTGAAGGCTCTCCCCGTCTATAAAGCTTCAACCATGAGGGCTAAAAGTGTGTCAATTCAATAAAACCAAAATAATTTACATTTATGAATAGATTCAGGAAATATTTTTTTCTATTTAAATGCATGAGTAAATACACAATGAAATCACTATTACTTTATATTCTGTGCTATAATCAGTTGTGAAATGAAGGCTTAAGCTGCGCTACAACTTATCCAATCACATCGTGTATAGCTGCATTAGCCCCGCCCACCAATTTGAAGAAAATTAGTCATGTGCTGCAAGTCCAGAACTATGAAAAATTAAAATACATCTTTAACTTAAGATCTATTAAGTTACATCTTAACAATAAGTAAATGTTGTGTATTAATTGAATTATTGAAACATTTAAATAATTTTAAATGATGTATTTTCAATTTTATTTGAATTATCACACATTAATGTGTAGTTATTCTTGACCAAGTAGGAAACTGGAACAGATACATGAATATATTATGTGTATATTTTATGATAAAATTATAATATTTATATAAATGAAAAAAAAAAACATTTAATTGTCAATTTGTTAAAATACATAATTAATTAATTAGATTGTAAATGTGGAAATCATAAATAAACTTCCAATTATTTTCTCTTGAAATTATGTATTACTTTAGTTTTTAATTATTTCATGTTTTCTGTGTCCATTATTAAGTAATTTAATTTAAATTTCATGTAATTTATAAGATTAAAGAAAATCATGAAATGGTTCAACACAAAACAATTAAATGTGAATTTTGATTTTTTTTTCCCAAACATTTTATTTTCAAATTGAATAAATTACATATAAGAAAGTATTTTTTATTTCTTGTGCTTCTAATTATCACACAACAATGAACAAATTAATATTGAATTGTCTCACTTTTGGCCATCAATACATCTCCTCTCTTGGACTTGAGAGAATTTTTTTATTTGACATTTTTCACATGTTAGATCCATTAAACCAACAACAGCTTCAGATTTCAAAAAGGAAAAAAAAAACTGTAAAAGGATTAAAGTCCGAGGCCTCAGCGAATCCAGGCCAATTCTGAAGAAATTATCCGATCAAACAGAGACACATCAGGGAATTCAGTAACGGAGGGCAGCGTAGCAGAACCCATCGGATCGTGAGGTGGAAAAAAAACTTCACTAAACAAAAAGCCATTATTACCTGCACTGCAGCGCCACGCCCTCCCCCCCACCCCCGTAATACGGTTTCCTACCAAAGCGTGCAAGTATAATCAACACAATAAAAAAATCTCCCCTGGAAAAGCTGATCAAGCTCTCTGTGTGACAAGATTCTCTCCAGTGACAAAGCCACACTGACCTTTCAGAAGCAAAGCTGTGTAAAGTATTAGAATCTGATGCTGTAGAAAGATCCTAGTTGCCTTTGTGTATATCAACTGCCTGCTTGAGTATTTTGTGTGTGGAAGTTTTCACTGTAATCTCGTAGAACTGTTTGGGGTGTTTTTTCCTGCCATATCGCTCGCAGCCAGAGCGGGCCGCTGACGGTTATATTTGCTGTGTATACCTTCATTTTCTGATGAGGTGTTTTACAGTTTCGTTTCACTTTGTGTAGTGATTCACTCTGTGGAGTTTTCTGACTGTTGTTATATAACTTCATATACACAAATGATCAATAAAAATGTTTTATTTCCTGTTGATACGTCTCATGTTGTGTTTTCTCAACTGAAAAGCAAAAATCCTTTTTCTTGATGTTTTATGTGTGGTGCATGAAGTATCGCCTTGCATCAGGAAGGTCCAGGATTCGAATCTTGCGTGGAATTTGCTTGTCCTCTCTGTGCATGCATCTGTTCTTTCCAGGTTTTTCCTTTTCCAATGGCCGCTGAAGATGGCCACTGACCCCCCAGTGACCCCACATGAACAAGCAGGAATCCACCAAATCCCAGGCAGTGTGTTAAAAAGACTAACACTGCCATCTGCTGGGAACAAACAAATCCAACCACCTCCATGAAAATGTATGACATCTCTTTACAAACAAAAATCTGAAAAATGTTGCCCCTTTGCTCTGATTTCCCCAAATAAAATCTGGTGCAACCAGAAGGCTTCAGGAATCATCTAGTGGTCTATCGTTCAGTCTGTCACCTCTAAATAGTGAAAATGGGAAAATACCGCAAAACCTAAATGGCCATCCACCTCAACTATCTGTCAAGAAGAGCATTAACTCTGGAGACTTGCAGAGATCCACAGCTCAGGTGAAATTCCCCTACTAAAACATATTCACCAAACTCTGGGCGGTGAGGATTCTTTTCTTCAGGAGAAACAAAGAAGCTGGTGAAAGAAGTTGAGGCAAAGATGGAAGCGGCTAAATAATAAAACTGATATGGAGTCTCCATGAGAAGATCAAACACAAATTTATTGAGGCTTTTGCAGAAGTAGAACAAAAAAGGATTATGACTCTAAACATACATAGGAAATATTATTGTTTCAGAAAGGCCTAGTTAAAGTCCAGGCCTAACTCTAATAAGAGTTGACAAGTCTGAAGCATTGATGTTCATAGCCTTTTCAAGTAGAATCACGGCACACTTTTCAAGGATTTATGTGAAACATTTTTAAAACGGTGCATTACGACTACATGGAGTTGGTTTTCATAAAATCTAAATAAGATGTACTGAAGTATTTGGTACGATGTGGTCAAATAAAAAAAAGTGTTTGCAGAGCTAACTTTGAAGTAGCTTACAGAAAGTCACATTTGTAAATTTGCCTGTGGCTTTTTATTCACGTTTTGCATAATTTGCACAGAATACTGTGCTAATCTTCATCAAATGAAAGATAAGAAAAACAGAAACCATTAGAACTCGGATATGTTAACAACAACCTACTGTCATGCTTGCTGCAGTTTGTTCCGACTGCAAAGTTTAAAGTGACAAGTGAAGCAGTTTGTCTGCACAATATGTTTTAGTGCCTGGTAGAACAAATGTGACATTTGTTCTACAAGGTGTTGGTTTGACACAAAGTAAGATAAATGATGTGTCACAGCTGCAGGAGGAAATGGTTGATGTGTGTCACTTATCTAGCAGCGATTATGAAGCATGTCAGCTAAAATAAGGAGAACTGTGTTCTACATGAACAGAAATATAAATTGGGTCAGAGTGCATCTCCACAGTGTGCAGTTTTTATGTTGCTAAAAATTAAATAGGAAATATGCTTAGTTTTTACTTAGTCGTTACTTTTAGGAAGCGTCTGTGAAAAAAAGCAGCAAGACATAACCAAACGTCTTCATGTTTATATATCATTGCATGTTTTTTTTTTTTTAATAACTGGTTTTATTTTGAAATCCATGTCTGTTACAAACTTCATGAACACCGTTAAGCTTTCTGCAACTAACCATTGATTAAGCGAATGTTGTCAGAATAAAATGCCTTTCTGTTCAGTTGAAGCTATTTTGACTTTCAGGATAACTAAAGGAGTGTTTTAATATTCATCTACTTATGAACAAAACTTTGGAATTATGTATAAAAATCAATAAACTTGAATATATTCAAAAAGTTATTTTTAATAATTAGCCTTACTTTGTTCATTCACCCATGTTTACATATGATGTATTTGAAAATAAAAACTAATATATATTGAATTGGCTTATGATTAGGCTATCAAAATATCTCATTGATTTATTAAGTATTTCGGTTTTGTGAGAAACTGAATTTTGGGGTTTCAGAATCAGATGTTAACAGAAAAGGTTTTAAATGTACCACTCTGAAGTGAACCTTTATTATATACCTTGAAGTTGTTTGCAGGCTTCCATAATCAAGAAAAAGAAGAATCGTTTTCACTGTTTAGCTAAATTATTTAAATTAATATTCTTTAAATTCTAGTTTAAATTACTGATGTACAGTCGGTTTGAGCTTAGTTTAGCGTAGTGAAATGTTTACATACAAATGCTTTCATTTTGAAAAGCTGTAACCGGATGTGGTTTCACGTTCAAACACAGTGACCACCTAAACTTCCGTTACAGCTCAGACAGTTGCAGCATTACACTCCTCCCGAGCTGCGCTCTCAACAAGCAAGCAAGCGTCTAGTTGTCTGAACGGACTGAAAATGTTGTCTTACATCATCGGGGTGAGTTTTGTTCTCTTTTGCAACATTATTTAACTCGTTTAACTTTAGCTAACTTCTCAGAGCTAACATTAGCCAACACGCAGTTTTCCCCACATGAAGTCCAGTCGGCCACCCCGCAGGAATTTGCGTGACTCATTTCTCCTGTTGAGGGGGGATTAAACTAAGATGACTTTTAGCAGTGACAACGCCCCGCAGGGCTCCTGCACAGCCTGTAGCTAATGCTAGCCGGTGGTCTGCTGTCTGACCTTCATCTCACAGCTGATCCGAGGCGGCTTTGACAGCATCATCAACCTCATCTTCAGGCTGCTGTTCTCCAAGAAGAGACCTGCCATCACCTTGGAGGACCCCAGCATCAAATATGCGCTCAGGTTAATCGACAAACAGGTAAGAAAGGGGCTGTTTAGCAAAGTCTGCTAATGTCTGCAAACTCTGCTGGTGCGTTCACGTGACAGCTGAGGTATTTGAGTTGATTGTGTTTTGTATGTTTTAGATTGTGAGTCATGACACCAGGAAGTTCCGCTTTGCCCTGCCTTCTCCTGAACACGTCCTCGGCCTGCCTATTGGTCAGTATGAGCTCCTAAAACACACATACACAATTTAGGCCAAAAGACTACGTATTAGACTATTAGAAAGTAATTGTGGAAAGAAAATCACACACATCATTAGCTCTTATGACTTTATTTCCACCACTAAGGCATGATTTTGTGCTCAACTAGTAGATTTCTTGTGACTGAGTCCCTCCACCCATTGATCTGCAACGAGTTGCAGTAGGCCTCTCGGCTACTGATAACCATATCATAATATTGCAGTTGTGCCAAACAGTTGCAAAATATATCAGAAATATATTGTCATTATGATACTGATGTGTGCAGTAGGGGTGGTCGATATGGATTTAAATTTGTAGCACGATATTTTGCCGTGCTATTGTGACAACGATAAAAGTAACAATAAGAGTTGTTTATTTTTTCATGACTGTGACTGTGTGTCACAGCAATTCTAGCCCCACTAACACAAATACTGCTTGTAATGTGATTACAAATAGGAATGCAATCACATAAAGAAATGTGATTGCATCACTAAACTGCGGTATTTATTGACGTTTTCATTGACCAAACTGGACAAAAAGTAAAATCAACCCTGACAATAGGGACTATTTTGGGGTGTTTAAACAGCATTAATTGGAATTTATTTTCATAATGTATTCCAATTAATGACGACAAATTTACTCACGCTAGTGGGCTTTTACCTTGTATTAATATTGCAAAGGACTGTTTGGATTAGATTCCAGTGCAACACTCTGTTGGATGGAGTCTCTCACCAGAGTAAAGTGCTAAAGGTCAGAGTTTTGGAATCTCCTTTGTTGATCTATATAATGTTCTCCAGCAAACAGAAAAGCTCTATTTATGCTGAGAAAAAAAATAACACCCAGGTGGACTCTTCTCTGATAAGGCAGCTTTTAGAGGAAATGAAGTGGAACTTAATAAATACACATTTTACAGATTTTCAATTGTAAAAACTTTAAAAACCATTTATCATTTTCCCTCTGTTGCATAAAATTTATTGAAGTGCAAACAAGATTGTAAAAGTTCAAGGGTTTCTAACTTTCTCAAGTTTTAGTGGCTTTTCTCGAGTTGCAAAAGCGAAATAAAACCAGTATCCATCTCTGCTCTCGTCTTCAGGGCAGCACATCTATCTGTCCGCTAAAATAAACGGGCAGCTCGTCGTCCGCCCGTACACACCCGTCTCCAGCGATGATGACAAAGGCTTTGTGGACCTGGTGGTGAAGGTGAGGTCCAGAAGCAAGTCACTTCTCTGTCTACGTATTGCATTTTATGGATTTAAATGCCTTTTATCTGCTTTTCTTTAACAGATTTATTTCAAAAATGTTCATCCTAAATTCCCAGAAGGTGGGAAGATGAGTCAGTATTTGGAGAGCCTCAAGCTCGGCGACACAATTGACTTCAGAGGACCCAGCGGTCTTCTCACCTACGAAGGCAAAGGTGAGAGCTTAATTTTCACCTTTAGAAAAAATGAAAAAGGGTTTGAGTTTCCCATCTTCTTTTTTTTTTTATAATAAACTGGTGAGGCAGTTCTAAAATGTACAGAATGTTTCAAAGCTGAAATATTTCAAATGAGCTTGGAGTCATTAGACATGTAGACACCATGTTAAGAAAAGAAAGAGCCTTTGCGTGCTGAATTAGCCTGATTGCTAACAGCTGCTCGTCTTTGGTGTCTGAGAACCAGGGCTTAAAGAGCTCCGGCCGGGGACCGTATTTCCGGCTTTTGACCAAACGGTCCGCCTCAACCAAGCTCATAGACATAATATAAGGATAGACCCTCATGGACCGCTCTCGCCTATTGTCGCTGATGAGATTTAGGGCGGCCATCTTGGAGCGGTACTCCACTCCACTCAGCGTTATGCGTTTAGCAGCACAATGACGTATCAGCGCATTTAATCAATCATAACATACTTTATTGTTACTGGAAACCATATTCAAAAATCTATCAAAGCAACATTTATAAACAATTGTATTTTTAAGTATGTTACAAAGCACACAGCCGTTCATAATTTATTTAATAAATTATTTAGTAATATAAATACATATTTACATAACTATACAAACACAAATAAATAAAGATTAATAATGGCACAAATAAATAATGATTAATACTGAATTATATATATATAAACATGTGTGTGTGTGTGTGTATATATATATATATATATATATATATATAAACATGTATTTATATATATATATATATATATATATATATATATATATATATATATATATATATATGT